TATCTAATTATCTATTTCAGTTAATGTTGATGATTGCGTTGTTCTTTAATCTTCGAATTGGATCCAGCTTATTATTTTTTGCAGACTGTAAGAGCAATTTTATAAAAGTAAGCTTGAACTTTCGATTATGTCAAATAGAATTTCCGATGCTGGAGCTCTCAAAGGATCTAGAAAACGAAAGTATGTTTCGATGTCCATCAAACAAAAAACGAATTGCTACAAAAAATGGATAAAGGCATATTTGTTTATCTAACCGTTCCGAAATCTATTTATCAATTTCACGCTGCTCTGCGCGGGGGGGGGGGACGTCGCGGCGCGCAATGAACTGGAAGTTGATTTGTCAACACTATCGTTATCTTCAGGGCAGATGTTTTTATTTTATTCGGCTTATAATTCCTTACTAAATGTAGTATTTAATTTCGATGTACTCCGTCTTTGATATGATTTAAATCAAATTCCTCGTCATTATAAATATCATGAATACACATCAAATAGTTTCCTGGTTGCAATTTTCTAATTTCGAATATGCGTAATGTATGCTTTACGCATGCGCGCGTTGAAAGAATGAAAGAAATATTTAATAAAGTAAACAAATAAATATTAAGCTTTTTTTTGGTAAATTTTGATACCCTTTAGATCCTAATTGCTCATTATTTTATAAATTACGGTTTCATATTTTTAATTTTATAATTTCTGCATGCCATCTTACCAGATTTAAACTGATGATCTATAATCCGGAAAAATCGATAATCCGGAATCGCCGAAGTCCCGACGAGTCCGGATTAAAGACTTTTGACTGTATTTCTAATTCTACTAGGAATTACTGATAAATAATCCGATGAAAAAATTGATACAGGCATAGATGGAGGAGATGTAAATAATTATTACAAAATAATGTGAAGCAGTGTTTGCATTCAAAATGTAAGATGTAATACTTATGAAATTCTGCACTTGACTTTGGAACTGTACGAATTTTCGCTCAGAAAAAGATCGAAATTCAGGATATATTAGTTACACTTTTAAGGAATAAAAACAATTCAGAATTTACCATATGTTACATTCGTACATACACAAATAAATACGGACATACATAAAAAATATAGCAAGTGTTTGCAAATAACATTGAAGAAATTTTACAATTCCTTAATGCTGTTTATTTAATACTTTTAAATAAGAAATAAAAGCGCGAATATACGTTAACAAACTAAGCGGGAAAATTCAGTTTACATTACTGAGAATTACAACATTTAAACAAATTACATCTAAATAACGAATTATTAAGCACAATATATGGTAACAATTATTAAATGCACTGTTAGACAAATTAAAATGAAACATATATTAGAAAAATAAGCAAGTGCAATCGGTATGAACGTTAAAATAACTAATAAACAAAGTTCCACAACACTTGACCACACTCGACAGCCATGGAGAGAGCTTGCGTAGGGTTGCTTTTAGTCGCCAATATTTCTTCCCGCGCCAAAGGTACACCATCAAGCATGCGCAGTAAGCGAAATTCACTTAACACTGTTCAACTCAATGTGCGGTCTGCCATTACGCAACCGGGGACAGCGTTCCCATACATTTCAGAGCCAATCAAACATTAATGATTCCATCATCCACCCCTTCTCTTGGTTTCGAACCAGGACATCATCTGGGAACAACTTTTCATTCTTAAGGGTTTTAGGACATGTTTTCCGTTTGAAGATTAAGAAAGGGGGAAATTTGCACCCGTCTGCTGTTATTGCCAGCAGCACTGTTACGCGTTGTTTTTCACATCCCGAAGTTTTGATGTTAACTTCCTTAGTCCCCTTCTACGTAATGGTGTAGTTACGAGGCATATCAAACCAAATTGACGTCTCATCAGCATTGCCAATTTGCCCCATTAAACAATTCTTTTCCTTCCGAAGTGTGATGACATACCGCTGAAATGTTAGTAGTTTTCCCTCAAAATCTGCAGGAAGCTTTTGGCATATTGTTGTACGGTGTCTTAGAGATAAGCCCATCAGCTTCATAAACCGAACCACCCATCTACGGCTAACCTTAAACTCTTGTTTCGATATTCCAAGAACTTCAGCCTCCTCTTTTGCTTTATTTCTTATGGTGTCACTAGTCACAGGTTGTCAATTCTTCCTCCTTTCATATACAAATTTCAAAACTTTTTCTTCAATTTTAGGGTGTCTTCCTTTGTGAGAGCCAGCAAATTTCTTTCTACTAGCTTTAGTTGCAAACAGTGCCAAGTTCTGTTGCCGCCACAAGCGAACATTGCTCTCAGCTTTGTTGAACTCTCTCCCTGCCTTTCTACTGCCATATTTTTCAGCATAAAGAATTACTTTACGTTTGAAAGTAGCATCATATGCATTCTTCTCTATTTGCCCTCCATTTCGTGACTACGTACTCTGTAGTTTGTATCCTCTATGCAATAATGTGTCAACGATAAATGTAACGGTAAATGTAGTCGAGAAATTTATTTGACGTCATCGCCAAACTCCTGACATCATCAGCGAACTTTGCACTCGAATCTAATGCTCCATCGAATCTAATGCGCACCCCAATTTTGAATACTACATTTGGCCAAAAACGATGTGCATTAGATTCGCATAAATACGGTATACCATTTCGGATGCATAACCCAAAATTAACACAATAAACATTAATATCATACACTGTAACTTACATTAATTCAAGCATTTCACCATGAATCGAGATTTATCATATGATGAATAAACAGTCCATGATCTGGATGGTCTTAAGTGAATCAAAATTTACAAAAAAAGCTCAATATTTGTTTCTTTTTTTAAATATTTATATGGGATTCCAGACACTAGATTATTCTGGATATTGGACATCCAGATTTTGAACTCTCTACTGTATTTAGAAAATTTTAAAATATTAATTTGTATCATTATGCATGATGAGTTGTAATAAAAATAACTCTTAGAAATATCTTTAAATGAATACACTATTCCTGATTCTCAGACCTCCCCCACAAGTTAATTAGGAGAATTTTTTGTAACTTCATTGTATGAATTCTAAACATCTTCTTAGTAATGTGTGAGCAATGTAATACACTGCAAATTTTTTCCATGTGTTACATTACCCATACATAGTTCAATTAAGAATGGTGACACTGCACTTTCAATGTATGTCTCAGGTACTTTTGTTTGGTTAACATTCTACTGAAGAATTAAGTTTCAGCATATACAAAGGTTAAGTTAACTAATCTGTTTAACAAATTTCACAAAAAGCTTGCCAAAAGATAGTACAGGGTGGTCATAGAAAAACTTCCCCAATATATGAATCCCTCGCAGCCTACACGTTCAACCACTAGAAATGGAATTTCAGATATTGTTATTTGAAGATATGCACTCAAGACTGTGATGATTTAAAATAATACAACTCTCTTGATTAGACATATGGACCCCTAATGATCCTAAATATATGAACCCCTAGAGGCAGTCAACACTTGCAAATTCGAAAGAGTTACTAGAATTCACCACCAAAGAGCTTTTGAGTGATTAGGTAAAGTGTTTCACTACCATTATTTGTGATAAGGTAGGATATTCCATAAATAAACTCAAGTTCTGTTCTCCAAGGCCAACTCTAGACTTTCTCATCACACTTCTGAATTGACTCAGCGAGCAATAAATCAGCAACTGCCTGGCAGCCGCCACACAGTCTTGAATTATTCTAATTCATATCCGAAGAACTTTTTTGTGATGAGGTAAATATTTCACTCCTACAAAACAAACTCAAGTACTGTTCTTCAAGGCCAAACTTTCTCATCGTACTTCTGATTTCACCCACAGATGTCACCATAAGCAAGACTCCAATTAAACATCAAAGTGCTGAACAGCTGCAAGCAATAAAGCAACGACTGCTCCACAGCCAGAGTCATCTCCCACAACTTTGCAGTTTTGTGGCCATTGCTATCCCCCATCTTAACTCTAATATATTTCTGGTTCTGAGATGTACACATCAAATCCACAAGATTTGTCAGAGTTGAAAGATGCAATAAAACACAAAATTATCCAGATTCCTCCTGCAATGTTTATATTCATCATTGTTGTCAACAATCTTCTGCATACAATGCATTATTGTCCAAGAAGGTGGGCATGTTGAAAACTTGTAATTTTAATAAAAGCTTTTCTTCTTCTCATCTCCTGTGTTATCACTGGTTCTTTATAATGCTCTTCTTTGCAAAGTTTTATGCCAAAAACTTTGATCATATGCGCATTGTTCCAATCCCATTCATTGTTTCTCAATGCACTGATCAATTTGCGCAGGGAAAAAAGTGGGTGTTACCATTCAAAAATTTCGAAATTTTTTTACAGTAACCACGACAAGAATGTTTTTTTTTTTTTTTAAATCATCACAATCTTGAGTGCATACCTTCAACTAATAATATCTGAAATTTCATTTGATTTGTTGAGCAAATAGGCCACTAGGAGTTCATGTATCGGAGAAGTTTTTTTTTACAATCACCATGTAGATATCATTTGTTACCATTACACCTCAACCTGCTTTTCCTAAAATACCATCTGCTTTCCCAGATATCATAGCATAAAAAAATTTACTTACTTAATGACCTAGTTCAAATTTTTGAAAAGATTGTGTTTTTTAAAACACATTTACTTGGACCATGCACCATATGTTAATTAACTCATCACATTTATGCTTGGAATTACACAGACTTGAAAGTAAACACTTTCTAATATTTGTACAAGACTTGCTTAAAATATTTTAAACAATTATATTTTTTTAAATTTCTATTTTTTGTATTCAGTAATTAAAATCTGTTTTAAAATATTAAAGATTATTTTTAACCCTTGATTTTAAAACATTTCCCATCACTTAAAAAATGTGATAATATCTGATTTTAATGAATATATTTTTTTAAAAAAATTAGCACATTAAAATCACTCAGTCCCTGATGCCAACTAAACCCATATACATAAAACAAAAGCACAAAAATTAACAAATAGAATGTACGTTCTTACCTTTATTTTTAGAATGGGGCACATGATAAATTCCACAGTTGTTGCCATTTTGTTTTTTCCATCCTCTCCAATTGTTGCACGAGCTCTCTGGCTCACTAATCCAAGAACATAAAGAGTCCTCTTCAAACCTGTCACTGTCCTCGAATGAAAATCTATCACCTTCATCCCAATCAAACATTCCACCAGCCTCTTCAGGCCTCACACTCACCAACTCTAGTTCAGACAGATTTATGCCGTTTTATAAACCACGCTAAAAAACTATATCATTAGCTGTCTGAGGACTCACAAAAATATGCTTTAGCTTTACAGGAATACTATGATTTATTGATATTTTAAACAGGCACTTTGAATAATGGTATCAGCAGTACAATTAATCACTTAGAGGAAAAATTCAAGCTGCAAAGTCACGGCTACTAAAACCACAGACCACTGAGTACTGAAATGCCAAGTGACAGTTAAAAGCATTCAGAACAAGAAATATTTGCATGATCTTCTTACCCTAAAAAGGAAAACAGAAAATAAATAAAACAGGGCTGAAATCATTTAATATAATTTGACATAATGAATTTTAAAATCTTATACAGGGCTACAGCAAAAATAAAGCCCAGATTTCATATGCTAATAACAGCGCAATGGCAGATACAACCCAAATTTTTTTCACAGTTGAAAAGAACAAGATTTACCATTTGGTTTTATATTTGCAAATAATAAAATGTACTAATGTGTTGTAGGGTTACAACAAAACATATGTATACTGTTTTTGTGAAAATTAACGATTTGTAACAACACAACACTTTGTTGACATAATTCACTTCTTTTTGAAAATATTGTCCAAGTGTCAACTTGCATATTAAATGCATTTCTGAAGCCTCATTCTGAAGTTCTGCATTGTCCTTTAATCAAGCATGTCAAACTTGTGGCATGGGAGCACATGCAGCCCTTGATTTTGATTAATTTTTCAGTGGCCGTCAGTTTGCCATGTACCTTTTTCAGAAAGCCACAAATTTGCACTGTACACGATTTCCATATCTGGTAGCACATACTTCTCATTCATGAAGAGAAACAAATCTCCGATAATGATTAGACATTCACCTGAAGAGAGATCAGATGCTTTAGAGTAAGGACAAAACAGGTAATCTAGGGGGGGGAAACAGGAAATTCTGGTAGAAAGGGTGGTTCCCCCTCTTTTTTTAAGGAACTACAGTATTAGATAAAATTTTATGTATTTACTCACTTTTAAAACTCATCATCAAGTATTGAAAATGGTTTTATTTTCTAACAGCCCGTCCTAGTATACAGAGATGACCATTTGGCCGATATGAGGAACTGAGTTTGACATGCATGTTTTAAGCTATTATTTGGTTATCAATCAATTTTTGGTGGTATTACCACAATTTCTTATCTGATAACATCTTCCAGTTTTCTCTGCCTTTTTTAATAAACTTTGCTTTCAGAACAGACTTCAGACTCTCCCCAGAGAAAGAAATCACAAGATGCAAGATTGGAGGAATGAGCTGGCCATAGAATGACACCTCAAAGTGAGGTCCGATGCCCTAGAAATATTTCATGTAGCATGCTCATCCAAATGCTTGCTGTGTGTGCTGTGGCAGCATCCCTTTAGAACTACACAAAGCATTATTTTCTGGTACATTTGGGAAACAAAATGGTAAATCTTATTACTTCCAATTGTGAAATAAAATTTTGCTTAGCATCATTGTTTCTTTGTTTTTTACATATGAAAACAAGCAGTAATTCTGCCGCACCCTGCATTTACTGCTTGAAAATTTAAATGCCTCAACACAATCAAAATACAAATTGAATAACTGCATAATATTTTAATTCTCCTACCCTGTTTGGTTCATTTAGACCCATTTTTCTTTTTCATGATGGAATAACAAACTAACACTTTCACTTAAAATTTGTACATTCCTTAAGGTAAACTACGTAAGGTAACTATTGTAAATAGAATGTCTTTGAATTATTTTAATATAACAGTTACTTTTTTTATTCATATAGAAAAGTCATATATTATTTTTTATTTATTTTCATATTTTTTATAGTTTGCCTCATTTCTTCTGATTATCTATAATGGTTTATTTAATTATGGCAAAGCACACAAGCACTAACCTGGCTAAGGAGAGGGATGCCATGAAGGACTTTCTCAGAAAAACAAATCTTTAAGTGAGAAGGTTTAAAGTAAACTTTAATTAAGTGGGGACACAGTATTCGAAGTATAGTCAGTAACTTTCTAATCCCGACGCTCCTGTTATTTCACTGGGGTTTTGCAATTCCGCTTGTAATAAAAAATTTGCTCTGTTGCGAACAAGTATAATCACACCATCCTTAGTTATAAGGATAGTTAATTTTTTATTTGCTTTCACATTCATAATTACCTATTCTTTTTCTTGCTTAATTTTATTTACCAAGCAACACGAAGACAGGAAGTTTCTATTTTCATAAGAGTTATGTTACATTAAGAATTGTACGAGTGATGATTTCCATATCATAGAAATTATACAATAATTAATACTCATGAAAACACATTGCTTAACCTTTTCCCGGGGGCTGGGACATATATGTCCCGCACGTTCACTACTTTAAATGTGTCTCAAGAAATTTCAGTAAACTATGGAGATTTAAAATTTACTCCTTAATATGGATTAGAAAGTGCAATACCCTGTCGATTTGTTTTTCTGTTCCTTTCAGTTAAAATAAGTAACTAAATGGCCAAAATACATTCAAAATTGGACCCTACAGCCCACGGGAAAAGGTTAAGTATAGTATTGAATATTTAAATTAAATCATAAGAATTAAAATAACTTGAAAGAAATGAATCACATGATAGAGGACTGAACAATTTATTTGCTACCGGTATTTGTACACAAATTATATGCAGTAACAGAGGCATTTACAGCATGTTGCTACCAATGCAGTGATAGAAATGACAGTTATCAATTAGTACACAGCTACCATTCTTTTACATCCATCCTATGGCATTATGCATCTAAGAAATCTGAGAAGTCATTCCACCATAAAGAGACATTCAGATGCCCCTGAAATCTACTGCACTATTCCACTTGTTAAAACTATAAATTAAAATTCTCAAATGCATTTCCTTCATAAATGCTTATTTACTAAAGAAATACCAGAAGAATATACATTGAATTCTATACAAAAATGTACATGATGAAACCAAATATTTCTTAGTTCTTCAAAAATGTAACACAATTCAATTCAGTGCCTTTAAAGAAATTTACAATTAAAGTGTTTTTAAAGAAATTATATATAAATTATTTAAAAGTTAATTTGCATTTGCTTTCGAATCATAATGCTTAATTATTGCAACAGGAATAATCAAGAATGATCATCTGAATGCAGTGTGTCTGAAACAAACAAAAAACAGGAGTAATAGAATCAAATTACATATCATCATCTTTTCTGATTTTTAAAAATAATCTATTAAAAATTCTTGAACACTAAAACAACTTTCTGTTTAAAATATAATTTTTCTAACATTGATAGTCAATAAACAGCCACGAAGTATTTTACAGCATTTAATCATGCACTTAAAAGCACATTAAAGGCATATAAGAATTTAAAAATTTTTGGTACTTTTTTGTTATGGATCTGTCATATGGTTAATTACTACAGAGGTGGAGAAATTACTAGAGAATCATTTAAATGACCTCAACAATAAAGAAGTATGCATAACAACTTCAACTTGATGAAATTTTTTCAGAAGAAGAAAGGAAGGAAAAAAGGTGAGTTCTCTGATCTGCAAAATTTTTACAAAATGGTTTAATGTAAAGATAAGTTTTAAGTTTTCATGTAAAGATATCACCTTGACAAAACATTTGCAATTTAAACAAGTGAATCTGTAGTTTATTCAGAGCATGTTTTCACTAGCCAGTGCACATTACGAGTCTGTCCTTCCTGTTATGTGGAGTTGCTGATAAGCCTTTTTGGTTATTTAAATAAGTATTAAGGTTGTTGAGTCAGCCTAGTTAGCCTTGACTTAAATTGTTAGTCCAGCTTTATCTCTGAAATTATTGTGTAACAATTCTTAAGTTCCACCACAAGTTACCAATGATGTTGTAATCATGAAGTGTGTGCCTTTTCTGTTCAAAGTTTGATGAATAATAAAGGGTTATTTTTACCCTTCTTCTGCGCTGGTATTCTTTATGCCTGTGTGAGAAGTCGTCAGGTTCCTTTAGTAGGGTCTAGCGGAGTTTATGTTACCAAAGAGAGTACGATCCTACAGTTCCATAAACATTTTAAAGTGCAGGCTATAAAAAAATAACACCAAACAAATTCTGAGTGAGACAGAGGCCCAGTCAATCCTAAGCAGAATCAAGTAGCACTTAGAGACAAAGCAAAGATGAAAGAATCCCATCATAATTCCCATCATTTTTCATGTATACAGTCTTCTTTATACTAAACTTTATACAGGTACAGTAAAATTAAATTAAATTCTTATATTTTATGTACTTAATATTGTGTTTGCATATATATTTTATATCTATAGGATTTTGTGTTTGGAATTTATGCACAGAATACTATTGTAGAGTTTATATAATCAATCATCAGTGGTCTAGAAATGAATTAATTCACTTTATAAAAATTGTTTCAGTTTGAAAACATTTCAGTAGGCAAACTGCCTTTAGAAAGCGTGAAACCAGGTTTCAATGCATTCACATATTTCCATTAGTTTTTGCTCATGAACTTGTGCAGAAAGTATTGCTGCTAAGTTTAAATAAAAATTATCAATGTGAGGAATGAATGAATCGATTTTACATATTCCTGTGGGAAAACTGTTCCAGTTAAAAACATTTCAACTGATGAAGAGACTTCAGAAACAAATGAAATTCACGAAACAAGGTTTCACTGAAATTGGTAATCTAGATTAATTGTTCAACTTAAAAAAAAAATACTAAATATAAATTAGTAAACTGATTATTAGTATGGGTATATGGGTATTAAGAGTTTCTTTTTAATGTCCGATAAAATTTATTAGTACAATAAAACTTCTTCAAAGATAAAATATGCTAATAACATATTTGTTAATTAACTAAACATACTATTTGTAAACTGATGCTGAATATAACAGGTAAAAAAAAAAAAAAGCTTTAAATCTTTATCTTAGAAATTTCATAGCTCCATCACTTTATCACTAATTTATATTTCATGTTAACAGTTTTTTTTTTTTTTTTTTTTTTTTTTTGGAGGGGGCTGAGGGTTAATGATGGATTTTATACCTGTATAAGCTTTTTGGGCATCTTCTTATGTAAGCTTTACTAAAATTAATTTATTTATTATTACATTTAAAGATTGAAAATCTGCTAATGCCTGAAATCTAGAGTCTCTTAACTGCCAATTATGATCAGGATGTCTTTGGGAATTTTAGGCAACAGGTTTTAGCATGCAGTATTGAAGCAAACATATTCTATTCAGAATTAGTTTTTAACCGTGTATTTTGTCAAAAGTCACTAGGGTTGATCC